TATGGTAACTGTACTTTGTCAAAATATGAACCTAGTATTTTATAGGTTCAAAGACACACAAAATCACATTTTTATTGATTCCAATAATAGTCTGTTTCATCAATTAGAAATTGAGGCCTGCCTCTAATTCTGGCCTCCTTCCAATAATGGCCTGGAACAAGATGAACCCGATTAAAAAAAAAAGGCCCAGTCCTATATTAGAGGATTTACGGTAGTAAGATTTTACAATCTAAATTAAATGTCCTTGTTTTAATTTACTTTTTATTAAAACTCCCAAAAATAATTATTTTGATTTATGGATGTAAAACTAAGTAAAAGGAGCTCTTTTTTGTCTGATAATACTTTATTCAGTTTTATTCAGACCTTTGTTTGTGAGGCTTTTGTGTGAGGTAGAGGATGGAAGAGGTGATTGGCTGTTTTAATAAGCTCATTGGAGAGCAAGCATTTCCAGTGCAGGATAAAGATTTAACCATTTAAGAAATGGGGATAATCTAACCTGGAGATCCATATATTTATTTTATTTTTGCATCTTTTTGTTACATAGTTTCATAAAGTAGCTGTATATCCAAAGTACTAATAAAAGTGTTAGTAGTTTTGTCAGGCAAAAGTCCGAGGAGGGTCTAGAAGCTAAATTTACTTTGATAAAATTGTAAACGGAAAGATGCCTTTTCTGGCAGAAGATAGAGAACGGCTTTCTTACCTTTTCTCTGCTTTCCTAGCTGAAGATCAGTGCCCTAGACTGGCAGGCAAGTCCTCCACATATGCAACCATGTTGTCTAAAACATGACTGCATATCAGATTGTGTTGATGTCATTTCTAGCTAATCATACAAAATCAAACATTTGTGCTGTGTTGTTTCTTCACTGCAACTCTTAGTTTGAAGAGAATGAAGAAGAGGAGGATTTAATAGAGGAAGGGGAGAAAATGGAGGTTTGTTGCAGTTCGAAGTGGTTTTTCTCATCCTTCATTCTCCGAATCGTTTCCCTAAACGTTCTCACCTCCAGCATCTTCTGAGCAAAACTTAAACCAATCCTAAACTTCTTACATGGTGGAGTTTTTCTTGTGTCTGATTGGTTTTATTCCCATCTGTGAGGATCTCCTCTAGTTTAGCAGCATTTCCCTTAATTTTCTGTTTTTTTTCACTCCCCCTTCAGTCGTCACTCTTGTGATTTGCATTTAATCTCCTTTTTTTTCTTTTTCATCGTTTGCAATAGGCTGAGAAGGATGAGGTGGGTGTTAGCATTAAATGTTATTTAATTTTTGAGATTTATTCACTTGAAATAGCTTAATTATTACAACTGAGAATTAGGACCATACTAGTGGAATGATATTGTTTTAATTTACAAAAATAAAATTGTAATATTAGGAGAATAAAGTCACAATAGTAAGAGATTAAAGTCATAATATTAGGTCTACGGTATTAAAGTTGTAAGATTATGAGAATTAAGTCATAATATTATAAAACTAAATTGTAAGATTAGGAGAGTTTTGATAGTGTTTTGATATTGCAAGAATAAATATGTATAACATAAGACAAAAACTATGCAAATAAAATCTTGCGAGGATGAAATTCTAATATTACAAGCAAAAAGTTGTAACCAGAAATGAAAGAGAACAATATTTAAAAAATACTTTTGACATTACGAGACTAAAGTAATAAAAATACAAGATGTTGTCGGATTACTATGTTAAATTAATGCTATTATGAGAATATAAACGTAATACAGGATTAAAGTGTTAACCATGCAGGATTAAAGTGTTAACCATGCAGGATTAAAGTGGTAACAATACAGGATTAAAGTGGTAACAATGCAGGATTAAAGTGTTAACCATGCAGGATTAAAGTGTTAACCATGCAGGATTAAAGTGGTAACAATACAGGATTAAAGTGGTAACAATACAGGATTAAAGTGTTAACAATGCAGGATTAAAGTGGTAACAATGCAGGATTAAAGTGGTAACAATGCAGGATTAAAGTGTTAACCATGCAGGATTAAAGTGGTAACAATGCAGGATTAAAGT